CTGGCCCGGTCCGGCCCGCCCCGACCCAATCCGGCCCGGGAGCCGCCAAAAGCCCACTCCCAACTCCCCAACTCCCCAACACACACACACAGACACACAGACAGTCACCAAACAAAGGCCCAACTTCGCTTTGTTTTCTAAATGAAGTATTTCTGTCGTTGTAAAAACGCAGTTACAAGGCGGCAAAGCCCCCCCTCTCTGTCTCTCCCCCCCCCACCCCCCCATGGCTCAGACACAGCTCAGCTTTTTACCTTCATAGCACAGGATGGTGATGTTATTGTTCATTTTGTCCAGGTATTGGTAGTTCAACAAGTCCATGGTTTTCATGAGGATTAACTGCGAGGGAAGCTCACTCGCCTCCTCTCCTCTCTCTCCCCCCCTTTCCCTCCCTCTCTCTTCTCTCTCTCCTCCTTCCCCCCCCCCTTTCTCTCTCTCCCCCCTCTCTCTCTCCCCCCGATTAAAGGCACCAACTTTCGATTTTTCCCAAATCACAAAAAAAACTGATGTTTTTTTTCTCCCCCCCCAAAAAAATAGTTTTTCTCTTTTTTTCTCCCCAAAACAAAGCAAGTTTCCGAAAAAAAAACAGATATATATTTTGGGTCGTCTCTTGTCTGTCTGTAAATTCACAACTTTTTTTTTGTTCCCCTTTCCCCCCCCCCCACCCCCCTCTCTCTCTCTCTCTCTCTCTCCCTCTCCCCTCCCCCCGGGATCGGTGTATTTCCCCCCTCCCTCCCCACACACTGACTGATCTTTAAAGAACTGTTTTGTTCATAGTTGGGAGAATTAGATGGAGGCTGATAAGTACTGTATCTCTCCCCCTCCCTCCCTCCCTCCCTCCCTGCCTGGCCTTCCCTCTCTCTCTCTCTCTCACTCACAGCCCTGCTGTAAGTTCTCTGTATAGACACGCAGGCGATGGCGGGGGTATGATTCGTATGTGAAGCAGAGAGAGTGTGTGTGTGTGTGTGTGTGAGAGCATGCTCAGTCACATCCCTGGAGTGCCTCAAATGTCAGGGATGTTTTCTGCACATGATCAGCCTCCAAATACAACCACTGCTAAAGAGAGAGAGAGAGAGAGAAAAGACAGGAGGAGACACAGAGAGAAGTGGTCGTGAATTCTGACAGTGAATCAATCTCCCCCCCCCCCCCACCCCCCACCCAGCGAGGGTTCACAAGTTAATGATAATCATCCTTGCGTTTGATATAGCGCCTTATCGTGTCGTTGAGACGTTTCAAAGAACTTCATAGGCTATACTGTAAAGTGTAGTGACTGTGCATTCTGTGAGTGAAACTCAGCAGTCGTTTGCACACAGAGACGTCCCACAAACAGTCGTGGATTCTGTGACCAATTTTTTTTTCCCCTTGGAGGGATTATTACCCCCAGAGGTGATCCGCCAATCGACGAAAAAACAGGTTCCTACTTGTTCTTACTTATTCCTATGTAAATAAGACGTGTGTGTGTGCGTGTGGAATAAAGAAACTGCGTGTGGAATGCAATGTGCACTCTCTCCCCGAGGAGAGACACATCCTCACCTAGTTCTAGAGACTAATGTGCGCAGATTGGTTTGAGCCAAGGATGGGGGGATGGAGAACCCACCCCATTGTACGTGTTATGGGGGTTGGGTAACTGCATATGGAGGAGAGACAGGGAGATGGGAGTGAAGGATATGTCGTCAACACGAGCGAGGCCGGTGTGACACTCCTGCTGCCCCATGTTGTGTATGAGACCCTCTGGGGATCCCAGCTCCTGAGGTAAAGGACCTCTCCTCAGTAAGCTCCTGGCTGGCTTGGTCTTGGTCTTGTACCCACGGTGCTCTGTGGTGAGACAGCAGTGTCCAACCCCACGTCAGTCACTCGCACATCAGCTGTGGGGCTGTGCAATACAAACACGCATGGAGGCACGCACACACACACACACATGCACACATATGCATGCACACACCCACACATATCCAGGCAAGCACGCACATCTGCAGACACACACACCCAGGCACACACGCACAGGCTCTTCATCTTCCCTCCATGGGAGGGCGTGAGGTATTGGGGAAGACACAGCTCCAGTTATTAGCCATAGCAAGAGAGTGGACAACAATAATAATAATAATAATAATCCTGGCATTTGATATTATCACGTCTTTGAGATGTCGCAAAGCGCTTCACAGGATACACTGTAAAGTAGAGTGAAAATCTTGTGGGTGAAACGATCATTGTGAAAAAAGAAAGAAGCTGGCTTCTGAATACAAACCGGATATAAAAATTCTCTACAGATTCTGAGCCTCTTAAATGTTGAGGTAAGTTTGGTGTCTGAGGCTGAGACTGTAACGCCTGCCCCAGCCACCGGGAGCGCCACACCCTCTGTTATTAATCCTTTAACCTTCGATTGGGAGCAATGGGGGTGAAGATGTTCGGCGGGAATCACAATCCGGGGGAAAGGAACAGAGCCAGAGGTGAGGGAGGGGGAGAGGAGGAGGGAAAATAAATCTTATTGTCTTTAGATAGTTTTTTTTTTAAAAAATGTTTGCGACTGAGTTGGCTAGATACTGGCTAGAGTTGGCTCGGTCAGGGTATTGAGGGATACTGTACAATGGAGTTGAGGTACAGATCAGCCATGATCTAATAGAATGGCAGAACAGGCTCGAGGGGCTGAATGGTCGACTCATGTCCTACGTTCCTGCATTTGCAATCAAAGTTGTGCAACAACAACAACTTGTATTTATATACCTCCCTTCCTCCTGAGGGGCGTGTCGACGTGTAGAGCACACACACACACACACACACACACACACACAGACTCATGTACCCACTGAGGTCACACATCAACCACCTACATTAATTAATATTGTAATAATAAGCGTTGCATTTCACACAGCATCAGATAACGTCTGAGTTGCTTCACAGAATCGCTGTCAAGTGTAGTGACTGTGTGTCATTTACAAATTTCTGTGGTGCAAAAACAGCACATTTATGACATTGGAACCAATCTTTGTTACCACGGCAAGGTTCACACTGAGGAGGGCTCGTTACACACTCACACAGCCTGACCCCCACCCACACAGCCTGACCCACCCACACAGCCTGACCCCCCCACACAGCCTGACCCACCCACACAACCTGACCCCCCACACACAACCTGACCCCCCCACACAGCCTGACCCCCCACACACAACCTGACCCCCCCACACAGCCTGACCCCCACCCACATAGCCTGACCCTCACCCACACTGCCTGACCCACCCACACAGCCTGACCTCCACCCACACACAACCTGACCCCCACCCACATAGCCTGACCCCCACCCACACTGCCTGACCTCCACCCACACAGCCTGACCACCCCCCCACCACTGTGAGACCGATCCCAGATAAAGAACCATGTGTACACAGGGGGGGTTGCACAAACTGCCAGGCTGCGGGTGACAGAGGTATCCGGATATTCAAGCTCTCTGGGACGCTCCCCTGCGTGAGATATAAATGCAAGTTGTTGTTGTTGATTGCCAGCCAGAATGTCGGGAGAAAGGAACTCGCTTCTCTTTTCCACAATAGTGCCGTCTCATCTGACAATGCCGCACACACACACGCACACACGCGCATGCACACACGCACACACGCACTCTCACTGTCCTGGCCGACAATCCCCGGATAAACACTGGGGGATCAGCTGTTTGTCGGATGTCGCTGTGCCCACATTGGATGTTGTGTTTGCCCACAAAGTACAGTCACTACACAGTGAGTGCCTGGGAAGTGCGGGGAGATGTTGTGATGTGATGAGTCGGTGCTGTTCTGGCGGGGTGGGGGGGGAGGGGGGGGGTGAACCCTGGAAATCTTTACTTAAAGGGGGGAGTAGCGGGGTGGTGGTGGGGGGGGGGAGACGGAAGCCAGTGAAAGACCCAGTAATAAGTACAGCTTCGAGCTGGGGTCCCTTTGTCAAAACCATCTCAGAAAGCCAGCGACCCGGCCTATGTGTGTGGATTCCCGTCCCCTCGAGATCGGGCTGTTCCCACAACAGACGGCAGTGGTGGAGGCCGGTTTCCTCTCATAAAAGCCCCATTGTTATAGTGGCCAGAACATCTCAGGCCATCAGCTAACGTCACACAGCACCGAGCCAGCCAGCAACCAACAGCTGCTCTCCAGCTCAGGCTACTGGGTCTTGGAACACTTACTGTGTGTGAGAGGGAGAGAGCGAGAGAGAGTGTGTGTGAGAGAGGGAGAGAGTGTGTGTGAGAGAGGCAGAGAGTGTGTGAAAGTGTGAGTGTGTGAGTCCAAGCATGTATGTGGGTATGTGTAAGTTTGCGTGTAAATGTGCAAGATTGTGCAAGGGTGTGTGTGTATGTTTGAAAGTGTGCATGTGGCAGTGTGAGAGGGACAGTGTGCAAGATTGTGCAAGTGCGAGAGGTTGAGTCCAAGCATGTGTGTGTGAGAGAAGTGAGAGACAGTGTGTGTGAGACAGTGTGACAGATTGTATTTGTGAGAGGCAGTAGGTGTGGGACAGTGTGAGAGAATGTATGTGAGAGTTTGTGTGAGGCAGTGAGAGAGAAAGAAGGAAAGGAAACCCATGTTGCAGTATCAGACCTGTGTCCAATGTTGTGTGGCTTCCTAACAACCACAATAACATGTATTAAGAGAGGCCCAGTGTCTACCCCCCACCCCACTACCCCCACCCTGCCCCCCACCCCCATGCCATGACAAGCCCCTCCTCATTCCCACCCGAGATCTCACACACACACAAACATCCCACAAACAGGACACCGACTGGTAGAGAGCGAGAGAGAGAGAGAGAGAGAGAAACTCCCTTCACTTTCCCAATAAAGTTTCAGGATCTTCAACATCCACCTGAACACACAAGGATGAGATCGCTGTGTGATGTCTTAAATCAAAGGACGGCTTCTCCCAACAATACAGCTCCCCCCTCCCTCCCTCCCACCCCATTCCACCCCTCCCTCTCCCCCACCCCTCACCCAGAGGAACTCAACATTCCCACACACAGAGCCGGAGAGATAGACTTACCTGGACACAGTAAGGAATGCTCCACACACATCAGCGCACTGGATCCCGACGTCCACTTCAGACCTTGGAAAGGGAAGAACAACATCAATGATCATCCAAGAGACGAACAGCACAGCTGCCGGGTGGTGGGGGGGGGGGGGGGGGGGGAAGGGGGAGAGGGGCTGGAAGCCCCTGGCAATTGTGGAACACACCCTCAATCCCTCCACCTTGCCCCCTCTTTCCCCTTTCTTTTCAACCGTGCTAACAGTCATCTCCACACCCCCTCGCGGCTCGGAGTCAGGCTCCACCACTGTTAAGTGCTCTGAGACACTTCTCTGTGTGGAGGGTGCTATACAAGTGCAAGTTGTTGTTGTCAGGGAGCCAGAGCTCACACGCCAGGCTGCCAACAAAACACACAGTCACTACACTTCACAGTAAATCCTGTGAAACGTTCTGAGGCATCCTGGATATTATGTTTTACCATCAGGAGTCAACCTGTCACTGGCCTCAAACTGCAATGGGGGGGGAAGGGGGAGGGGGGGGAAGGGGGAGGGAGGGAGGGGCGAGGGAGTGCATTTTACACATAAAACTCAACAATCGTCAGAAGGAACATAGGAACAGGAGGAGCCCCTTCAGCCCCTCGAGCCTGTTCTGCCATTCTTTTAAATCATGGCTGATCTGCAGCTCAACTCCAAGAAGCAGGGAATCACTGAAAGAGTTAATATCGCTCAGCGTGAGAGAGTCAGGAGAGAGTCAGGTACAGGGCTGAGGTTAATGATTGCCAACGCTGCCTGCAGGCTGCCAGATTTGTTAAGTTAACTATTTATAGTCTCAAACTCCATGCCTTCACACTCGGGCACCACAATGCCTTCACACTCGGGCACCACAATGCCTTCACACTCGGGCACCACGATGCCATCACACTCGGGCACCACAATGCCACCAGATAGGAGCTGACTGGAGGCCAACAGCACCTTGTTTATGCAGCTTCATTTTCACCATTAGTAAACTACAAACTGCTTTAGAATTTATTCTCACGCTCACACCCACAAACACACTCAACCGATGCACACACACACACGCGCGCGCACGTACATATGCATGCACACACACATAGACACCTACACACACATGCACATACATACGCATGCGTGCCCACACACGCGCATGCATGTACATGCATGTACATATGCGCACACGCACGCAAGTACACACACGCGCACACATGCACATACGACTGTTAGGATAGTTTATTCCAGTATCATTTCGGTGTGAAATGATCTTACTTGGGGCAGGGAGGGAGGCAAGCAGGGTCTGCTTGTAGCTGAACTGGCTCCAAGGTGACACGTTTGGCAATGTAATGTTGGAATCGAGCCCCATCCTCTGTGACAGTCTCTGATCCGTTTCCTGAGCCAGGTGGCCGACAGTCGACCAGTTCAAATCAAGCACTCACGGATATAATAGGTTTACCCTCCCTGCCCTCCACCCCTCCTGATCCCAAACCCCAGCTCGGGGCCAAGTCCCTGATCATCCAGCGCTTTGGGATGTCTTCCCGACGTGAGAGGTGCCGCGTGAATGTCATTTGTCGTTGTTGTTCAAAGTAAATGTGTGGATAATAATCTCAAACGACCCAATAAAGCCCTGGAGCTGAGGACGGGGAGTAAGGGCTCCAATCACCATGGTGGCCAGGCTGTCACACAGCTGTGATCAGCAACTGCAACAGACAGTGATTCAGCAGAGAAACCTTCCGTCCTTCTGCGTAAAGATTCCGTCAAAACCTCCAGCTGTAGTGAGCGACGCTGACTGTCCCTCACCTGCTGATCGTGCTGCTACGTGCCCTCACATCCCAGCAATTATACATCAACACCGACTGCATTCCTCCACCCCGCACCGCCCCACCCAACGCCCCACACAGCACACAGCCCCCCGCCCTGCACACAGCGCCCCGCACACAGCGCCCCGCACACAGCGCCCCGCACACAGCGCCCCGCACACAGCGCCCCGCACACAGCGCCCCGCACACAGCGCCCCGCACACAGCGCCCCGCACACAGCGCCCCGCACACAGCGCCCCGCACACAGCCCCCGCACACAGCCCTCACACAGCACACTGCGCCCCACACGAGCCCCACACAGCACACAGCCCCCCGCACACAGCCCCCACACAGCACACAGTGCCCACACAGCACACTGCGCCCCGCTCACTGCTCCCCACACACTGCTTGCATTCCCCACTGCACAGAGCCTCCCAGTCTCTCATTCTCAACAACAACAAATGACATTTACACGGCACCTTTCACGTAGGGAGGAAGTCGAGTTCCCAAAACACTGACTGTTTACTCACTACACAGTCTCCTGATGTCAACCCCTCAACTCAGCAGTTTTCAAGTTGGTAAAGTTATTTCAGTCAGTTAGGACGGTCAGCGGAAACAGCAAAATTACAGCCCCCATCACCCCCCCACCCACTCTGCCCCCCCAACCCCCTGATTCCAACACCCCACCCCCCACCCCCAAACCCCACAAATCATTATTCGGGTCTCAGGTCATAGACTTCAAACAGCTATAGGTTCAAGCCTCCATTGTCTGAGGTGCCATTTTTTGGATGAGACGTTAAACCAAGCTCCCGCCTGTTCCATCTGGACATTAATGATCCAGTGATGCTCTTTGGAAAAGAGAAGGGAGTTTCTTTCTCTCTCCCGGTGTCCGGTCCAACAATTCCCCAGATATAAATCGCTCGTTCACTTCAGGACCTGCATGTGGGACATTGTAACACTTGTAACACGCAAAACAGTGACTACACTCAACAGTAATTAGGATCCTTGCATTTGAGACATGTCATTGAGACGTCTCAAAGCGCTTCACAGAATATACTGTAAAGTGGAGTGACTGTGTATTTTGTGGGTGAAACGAGGCAGGCAATTGCACACAGCAGCGTCCCACAAATAGTCGTGGATTGAGTGACCAATTTCTTTTGGGTGGAGGGGAATTATTACCCCCAGAAAATGATCCGCCTAGTAGTCTAACAAGAAGTTTCTACTTACTGCTTGGTAAACAGAGGCGTGCGTGTAGAGTAAGGAAACTTGCCTAAGGTTTCGCCCTGACCTGACCCGCCGGGAATCAAACCCAGGTCCTCTCGCTTGTGAGGCAAGAGCACTAACCACAACATCACAGGACTATCATGCGCTTCCGAGACATTTTGAGGTGATAAAGCGCTACACCGCGAGCTGGTGCGTTGTCCCTTGTGAAAGTGCCCGATCAGGTGAAGCACGGTGATGGCTGGCTCACTGGCACCGTGCCCGGGTCTCACCCTGAGCCAGACCGGGGCCAAGCAATGCCAACTAAAGTGTGCAGACAGAAGGCTGATTGGCTGTTAGTCACTGCAGAGTGAGGGGAGTGACAGCTCCTGTCTCAGCCCCACCACTGGGCCCATTGGGCAGAGATTACATCATCTGATGCTAACCTCTCACAGGCAACTGCAGGTTTCTGAGAGGGGGAAGGAGAGAGAGAGAGAGAAAGAGAGGGGGGGGGGTAGGAATTGTTATACTACTGTGCTTTCTGCATGTGCCAGAAACAAGAGGCGTGTGGTGTGGAGTAAGGAAACTTGCCTCAGGTTTCATCATCTGATAGTAACCTCTCAGAAGCAACGACAGGTTTCTGAGAGAGAGAGAGAGAGAGAGAGAGGGTGTGTGTGTGTGTGTGGGGGGGGGGGGGGGGTGTCACACTGAAGTCCTTTCTGCATATTCCAGCACCAATCCTACAACCATAACCTAAACTCGCAGTTACAGACAAGTACCAAAATGATCTCTTTTTCTCTCTCTCTTTTACATTTTCTCCCTCTCTTATTCTTTCTCTCACTCTTTTATCTCGTTCTCTGACTCGTTTTCTCTCTCCCTCTTTCTTTCCTTCTCTCTCTCTCTCTCAGAGCATAAATGAAACAAAAGACTTTCTACCACAACTGATTTGCTAATTCATAACCCCCCCACACCCCCCCACACCCTCACACCCACACACACAAACAAATAAACCTCCACGTTTAAACCTCCACATGTAATCAAACCCACTTGGCCGGGATGTAAAACCCACAAGTTACTTTCACAACACATTTGGCCAGAAATAATACCAGTAACAACACTAATAACCAGGGAAGGTGGTTATTTCCGCCTGTAACTGCCTGGGGAGCCGATCGGCCGCTTCCTGTAGTGACTGTGGGTGAGTGTGTGTGGGGGTGTGGGTGTGTGTGTGTGTGTGTGTGTGGGGGGGGGGGGAGTGTGTGTGGGGGTGTGGGTGTGTGTGTGAGTGTGTGTGTGTGTGGGTGTGTGGGGGGGGGGCAGCCACTGAGACCGACAAACAACCACCGAAACTGCCCGGAGTCACGTCCCCTCAGGCAGACACCGCACTGAGCAAAGCCGGTCCCCCCCCCCCCACCCTCCCTCCCACCCCCCCACCCCACCCCACCTCTCCACCCCCCCCCCCCTCCCCCCCACCTCTCTCTCACAGTCAGTAACTACTGCTGTTGTTTCAAACATTAAACTGAGATTTCTCAGAGAGAGAGAGCACAGCGTTCACTTTGTTGCCACAGTGTCTAACCCTCGCCATACAGTTTATTCCTCTCTGTCTCTGTCTCCCTGTCCCTCTGTGTGTGTCCCTCTGTGTGTGTCCCTCTGAGTGTCTCTCTTTCTCTGTGTGTGTCTCACGCGGTGCGTGTGTTTATGTCTCTCTCTCTCTGTTCCCTGTGTGTGTCTCTCTCTCTGTGTCTGTTCCCTGTGTGTGTCTCTCTCTGTGTCTGTTCTCTGACTCTCTCTCTCTCTCTGTTCTCTGTGAGTCTCTCTCTCTGTGTCTGTTCTCTGTGTATCTCTTTCTCTGTCTGTTCCGTGTGTGTGTGTCTCTCTCCCTCTGTTCTCTCTCTCTCTCTGTCTGTTCTCTGTGTGTGTCACTGTCTGTCCCCTGTGTGTGTGTCTCTCTCTCTCTGTCTGTCCCCTGTGTGTGTGTCTCTCTCTCTCTGTCTGTTCTCTGTCTCTCTCTCTCTCTGTCTGTCTGTCCCCTGTGTGTGTGTGTCTCTCTCTCTGTCTGTCCCCTGTGTGTGTGTCTCTCTCTCTGTCTGTTCCCTGTGTGTGTGTCTCTCTCTCTCTGTCTGTCCCCTGTGTGTGTGTCTCTCTCTCTCTGTCTGTCCCCTGTGTGTGTGTGTCTCTCTTTCTGTCTGTTCTCTGTCTCTCTCTCTCTGTCTGTCCCCTGTGTGTGTGTGTCTCTCTCTCTCTCTGTCTGTCCCCTGTGTGTGTGTGTCTCTCTCTCTGTCTGTCCCCTGTGTGTGTGTCTCTCTGTGATGTGGATGTTAATGGCTCATGGCCTCCAGCCTCTCCCGCACTCACCTCTCTGGTCATCGGCGTGGAGTAGGGAGGCTGCTCGGGACAGGACGTCCAGGGGAGTCTCCATGGCTGTGAGCAGAGTCCCGCGCGGCTGCGGGAGGGAGAGGAGCTCTCGGCACAGCTCAGTTCAAGGGGAGCGCCAGACAGGTCGCCATTCACTGCAACAAGGAAGTGCCGCAGAGAAACAATGTAACCCCGTAACCCGGTAACCCGGTAACCCCGCAACCCCGCCTGTCACCGAGTCACACTGTAACCTGTCACACCGTCACCCAGTCACACTGTAACCTGTCACACTGTCACCGAGTCACACTGTAACCTGTCACACTGTCACCGAGTCACACTGCCACCGAGTCACACTGTAACCTGTCACACTGTCACCCAGTCACACTGTAACCTGTCACACTGTCACCGAGTCACACTGTAACCTGTCACACTGCCACCGAGTCACACTGTAACCTGTCACACCGTCACCCAGTCACACTGTAACCTGTCACACTGTCACCCAGTCACACTGTAACCTGTCACACTGCCACCCAGTCACACTGTAACCTGTCACACTGTCACCGAATCACACTGTAACCTGTCACACTGTCACCGAGTCACACTGTAACCTGTCACACTGCCACCCAGTCACACTGTAACCTGTCACACTGTCACCCAGTCACACTGTAACCTGTCACACTGTCACCGAGTCACACTGTAACCTGTCACACTGTCACCCAGTCACACTGTAACCTGTCACACTGTCACCCAGTCACACTGTAACCTGTCACACTGTCACCGAGTCACACTGTAACCTGTCACACTGTCACCGAGTCACACTGTAACCTGTCACACTGTCACCGAGTCACACTGTAACCTGTCACACTGTCACCCAGTCACACTGTAACCTGTCACACTGTCACCGAGTCACACTGTAACCTGTCACACTGTCACCCAGTCACACTGTAACCTGTCACCGAGTCACCGAGTCCCAGTGTAACCTGTCACCGAGTCACCGAGTCATAGTGTAACTGTGATAGTGTCACTTTGTAGCCGGACAGTGTCACACTGTAACCTGTGATAGTGTAATATTGAAACTAGTCGGTGTCACTTTGTAGCCACTGACAGTGTCACAGTGTAACCTGTGATAGTGTCACTTTGTAGCCACTGACAGTGTCACAGTGTAACCTGTGATAGTGTCACTTTGTAGCCACTGACAGTGTCACAGTGTAACCTGTGATAGTGTCACAATGTAACTAGTCTTGGACAGTGCAATACCAATGGCAAACTATGTGGGTGTAGCTGGTTATACACCAGGAGTTATCCCAACGCACATTCTGGGATCCCCCCCCCCCCAAGCCTTGGCTCTTGCCAACCTGCGCCTAATACTCTCTGGAATTAGGTAAACAGGGTGTGTGTCTCCAGAGAGAGAGAGAGAGAGAGAGAGCGCATTCCATTCCAACCTATCGCTGGAATTTCCATGTGTACACGTGGAATTCTCAACTTGGTTTGGAGATTCTGAGGCACAGTGATGGGTTTCCGCTTGTGTCAGACACCCATATGGGCAAAACAAAACAGTGAAGCCAGTCTGCGAGGGTGTGACCTGCCCATGTTTTCATTGTAAAGAGTTTTTTTTCTCTATCTTATTTTATCTGTCATCACATCACATGTTCCTCTGTGTTGAATGCAACACAACAAAGATGGCAATACATAACAAGTATTCAGCAGCCGTGAAGCCAGAGAAAGGCTGTGACCTGACCTCTCCGTCCCCAAGGCCCACAGCCACAGAGAGACGCTAAGCAGCTGACATGTGACTAATGTCAATGCCATCCATTCACCCTTCCACCCTTTCTTTTCTCAACCCCTCGGATGTTCCCCTTCAAATGTTTATCCGATTCCCTTTTCAAATACAACACAATTCATATTTATGCAACGCTTTTCTTGTCAGGAGGACGTCTCAAAGCATTTCACGCTGATGGTTGGGGGTGGTTGCGGGGTGTGAGCTGAGGGAAGAGAAGGGATGGGGGGGGGGGGGGGATGGGAAGAGTGATGACCGAATCGGGAGTTGCTGAGAGCGGGGGACAGATTGGCTGAAAGCTCATCTGCTGACCATGAGCACATTAATAGTTCTTGGTAAAATGCTACTTGGGGTGTGGGAAAGAGCAACGGGGAGAGGGCAGGGAAACAGAACTGACTGGGTCACTGTTGACTGAGCAGCACAGACACCATGGGAAGAACGGCCTTTCTCTGTGCTGTAAATTCGCACCCGATTACTCCAGTCCTGGCCAAACCCCACTGGCTCCTGTCACAGAGCGGATCCACTTCAAGATCCTCACTCTAGTGTTTAAATCCCTCCATTCCTTCGTCCCCCATCTCTCTCCACTCCTCTCTCCCCACAGCAGTACCCACTGCCTCCGCTCTACTGGGTCCGGCCTCCTCTGCGTCCCCCGAATCCTCCGCTCCACCATCGGCAGCCGTGCCTTCAGCCACTACACCCCGAATCTTTGGAACTCCCTCCCTCAACCCCTTGGCCTCGACATCGGGCTTGTGCTGCCTCTCAGCGGGAGCTTCCATGCAGTTTCTTACCTGTTTGTTCTCCCTCTAAATGCTCCCACTCCCCCACCACCAAATGCCCTTTAACATCATCCAATTCCCTTTCAGAATCTGTTGTGATTGCTGCAGTGACTGCCTGGGCTCCACGTGGAGTGGTGCGCTGGGAGCGGGAATGGCATGGGATGATGATGCCTGGGGTTTATTCGTTGGCTGAGCTGTTGGGGATGTGAGTCAAAGTCAGGCAGTTGTTGCTGGCAGGCAGCCTGCAATTCTCAGGAAATAGGTGCAAGCCTAAAACAACAGGGAGCCAGTGCTGGGGAGAGGCAGTGGCTGAGGAAAGGCAATGACTGGGAGCAGGGAAAGAGAACAAGCAAAACAGGCAATACACCACTCTGTAGACCACTCACTCAAATCAGGAGCATGCCATCATTTCATTCCCACTTTCTCATTTAATACAGTGCCTCATCATGTCATTGAGACGTCTCAAAGTGCTTCATAGAATATAATGTAAAGTGTAGTGACTGTGTGTTTTGTAGGAGAAACATGGCAGCCAATTGCACACAGCAATGTTCCACAAACAGCCATGGATTGAATGACCAAATTATTAATTTTTTTGGATGGCTTACTACAGCAGGAAATTAACTAACAACCAAGTTCCTACTTACTGCTAGGTAAACAGAGGCGTGTGGAGTAAGGAAATTTGTCTACAGTTTCAACCCACCTGGGAATCGAACCCGGGTCCTCTCGCTTGCGAGGCGAGTGCTCTAGCCACTACACTACAGGACTCCACAAATCCCATTCCCGGCTTTTACACCATAACCACTTGTTATTCTCCTTCTCCCCATCCTCCCCTCCCACCCTCCACTTCTAACCCCACACCCCTCACCCCCCCCCCCCCCACCCCATCCCAATGACTGACAGGGACCGATTGGAGTACACATGGCCTGAGATGAGGGATTGCCCTCAGAGTGGCCGCTGACTTCACAAGGCTTCACAAGAAAATCAAAGGCCGCGATTTCAAAATATTATTTGTCTCTGAGAGTTTATAATCTTAAGGTTTTTGCTACACTGTTCTCTCTCCTTCGGTCTCAACATTAACCGGCCTCATTGTATCACAGGGCACGGGCACCAGTGAAGGACATTGCTGTCTGTCCACCTGACCAGCAAAGTCAACTGATAATTCTCTCGCTCTCTCCCAGAGAGAGAGAGCAGGGAATGGGGTTAGAGTAGAGAGCTCCAGTGGGGGAGCGAACACCAGCACAGACACGATGGGGAGAGAGAGAGAGAGCAGGGAATGGGGTTAGAGTAGAGAGAGAGAGCAGGGAATGGGGTTAGAGTAGAGAGCTCCAGTGGGGGAGCGAGCCCCAGCACAGACACGATGGGGAGAGCATCCTTTGCTGTGATCACTGTGAGGTGAGCTATGTTTAGGTGAGTTCTGGGGATTTGCTGAGGAAAGAGATTGAGTCTCGTTAAACATGGATCTCACAGCTGGACAGCTGTTTCCGAGAGCCGGGGCAGACCAGATAGAGGCCGAATGGCTTCCTTCAGTGGCTGTAAATTTCTTCCGGTGTATGAGCACCTGGCTCCCAACTAACCAGCAACAGTGAGTGAGAAACATTCCCTCTGGCTGGCCTCAGGCCCCCGGGTTTAACGCCTCAAACTCTTTCCTTTGTGCAGCCCCCCGCCATCCCCCGGCCCTGTCTCTCCCCACCCCCCCACCCTGCCAGGCCCTCCCCTCCCCACGGTGTGGGCTTTCAGGGCGTGGCCGGTGCCAACAGCAAGTGGCAGAACCTGTCAGACCAGCCGCTCACTGAGCCGGGCCGGGCTGGGCCGCACCACTCCACTCAGGGGGGAACTCGCCTTGAGGAAGGTGTGCACACTGTAACCTGCTCCCTGCGTTACCTTTGCTCAGGCTCAGGCTCTGGCTCAGGCTCTGGCTCAGGGTCTGGCTCAGGCTCTGGCTCAGGCTCAGGCTCAGGGTCTGGCTCAGGGTCTGGCTCAGGCTGGCGTCGGCTGGAGCTTGTGAGCATTTCCATGTAAAGCCAAGGCTGTTCCCCGGGAGGTAAGCTCCCGCCCTTTAACCTGCTCACAAACTGGCTGCCCGCCTGCTGTTCGCAGGTTATAATATTCATAATTAATAGTATTCATCTAAATAATGGCAATCCTCACATTTGATACAGCGCCTTTCACAGCAGGAGGGTGACTCCCTGCTTCCGCCTCCCCCCCCACCACCGCCCTCCACCCTCCCACACCCCGATCCCCAGCTCGAGTCCGTAACTCTGTCTGTCCAGCGCCTTGGGACGTCCTCCCGACGTGAAAGGCACTTTACAAATGTAATTTTGTTGTTGCTGCTGTTATTATTGTTTAAAGCGCTTCACAGGATCCATTGTAAAGTGTAGTGACTGTGTACTGCAGCTGGAGTAAAATTCCAAAGCCTTTCTCACACCCGCTAACACTCTCGACCTCTCTTCGCACGCTCACACTCTCTCCACCCCTCACACCCGCTCACACTCTCGGCCTCTCTTCGCACGAGGCCTCTCACGCTCGCTCACACTCTCACACTGTCTCACACCCGCTCACACTCAGAAATGATGGATGAACGACCCTCTTGCTGTGTTGTAATGTCTACGATGCGGAACAAACTCCGGGGAGAGACGCGTCACACAGACTCTTTCAAGTAATGTTTATCTAGTGGCCGCTCACGCTGAGGGTTAGTTACAGGCTGAAGTGGATGACCTTCGATCGGGACAATCTCCAGCCTCGGACGGAGTCAGTACACGTGTTCCGAACGCCGACTGAGACGCACATGTGAGGAGTCAGTGCTGATGAGTGCGGCAGACGTGCAGTGTAATGGGGGAGTGAGGGTCCTGGGGAGGGGGGAGGGGGTTCAGGATAGTAGATGGCGGGGCCAACTCCTCCACATTTTCCACAGTTTCCTGGTGCTGTACACGACCGTTTTCCTCGCACCTGCAAACACCGTGTCGGGAGAGAGAGGAGAGGGTTCACAAAGCAGAAATGACCCTAGACACAGCGACGGGTCAACCCGGCAGCGCTCGTGCCTGGAGAGTCACAACTGTGCCACAACAACGTACACCTCATACAGGGTGAATCAAAAGTCCTTACGCCTATCAACTCAAGTGACAAAAACGTTCACACCAATGCGATGAGTGATGCCTCCTGTAATGGCTGCACACTCTGTACCAGTGTCGTCTTTTAAAAAAAGAACACCATTAATAATTAAACACCCTATGAGTAAGGAGTGATTCACCCTGTACAGTGCCCTTTGTGAGGGGTAGCGTCTCGGAACGTTTAATTATACAGCGGAGCACTGAATCCCCAATCCCCCGCCAGTTTAATATCCACACAGGCCTGGCCAGGCAGTGCGGATATGAGGGACGGCCTGTTGTGTGCTTGCCCGAGAGCAAGAGGGTCGCTTACCTGCAGTGAGGATTCCCTTCGCACTCTGCATCAGGCTGGAGGTTTTCACGATGGCAGCAACACCTGAGTCAGAGGATAAAACAAACCGTTTCAAGATAATAACAATTGCATTTGATACAGCGCCTTCTCATGTCGTTGAGACGTCTCAAAGCGCTTCACAGGATACGCTGTAAAGTTTGTGGGCGAAACAAATGCACACAGCAGTGTCCCACAAACAGTCGTGGATTGAGTGACAGCATTTTTTTTTGGAGGGGATTATTACCCCCCAGAAAGCGATCCGCCAATCGACTAACGGCCTGATTCTGCTACACCGGCTGCAAAGGCAAAATTCTGTGAGCTGCTGGGACTCACTGTATGTGTGTTTGGGTGTGTGTGGGGCAAGGGCCACCGCGAGGGGGGGAGGGGGGATTAGACTGATCATGAGGGGGCGCAACACGCAAGACTGACGGTGGGGGTGGAGACTGACGGTGGGGGGGGGGGGAGACTGCTCTTGGAGGCAGGGGGAACTGACCGTAAGGGACGGGTGGGAGGTGGAGACTGATCATGGTGGTTGTCAGGGGAGAATTACAGGGGGAAGGGAAGACTGCTCGGGGGTCGGGGGTGGGGGGACTGACTGACCGAGCTGGACGAAGGCTCCGCACTCTGGGTCCTGGGCCACCTGCAGTAATATCTCCTCCACGTCCCGGTTCTTCCCCGGTCGGTCAACCAGCCGCGTGATCTGCTGCTGCAGGGTTCGGGGCAACGACATCAGCTGCCGGAACTGGCCCTCAGCACTCTTGTCCAGCTGTGTGTGAGAGAGAGAGAGAGAGAGAATGTGTGAGAGAGATATAGAGAAAGAGTGTGTGTGTGAGAGCAAGAGTGGAGTGTAAGTAACGGGAGTCCTGTAGAGTAGTGGTTAGAGGGCTCGCCTCGCAAGAGAGTGGTCCTGGGTCGATTCCCGGGCAGGGTGAAATCTTAGGCAAGTTTCCTTACTCCACACGCCTCTATTTACCAGCAGTAATTAGGCACCTGGTTGTTAGTCGGTTGGCCGATCGCTTTCCGAGGATAATAATTCCTCCCAAAGTATAAATAATAATTGGGTCACTCAATCCAAGACTGTTTATGGGACACTAGTGTGGAATGGGCTGCTGCATTTCGCCCACAAAATATACAGTCACTACACTTTACAGTATATCCTGAGAGGCACTTTGAGACGTCTCAACGACGTGAAAAGGCACTATACGAAATTCACGGATTATTATATAATAATAATAATAACCCTTGCATTTGATATAGCGCTTTTCACGTCTTCTCAACGTCTCAAAGCGCTTCACAGAATAGACTGTAAAGTGAATTGACTGTATATTTGTGGGTGAAACGCAGCAGCCGATTGCACAGAGCAACGTCCCCACAAACAGCCGTGGATTGAAATGACCAATTTTTTTTTGAGGGATTATTATCAGGCGTGTGGAGTAAGGAAACTTGCCCAAGGTTTCAACCCTGCCGGGAATCAAACCCAGGTCTCTCGCTTACAAAGCGGGTGCTCTAACCACTGAGCTACAGGACTCCATTATTATCATGTGTGTATGGGGGGACGGTGTGGGAGCGGGGATATGTGGGGGTGGGGGGGTATGTACGGGCCAGGGGTATGTGGGGAGCTGTGTGGCTGGTGTACCTCCACGATGCCCTGCTGCTGCCTGTGCAAGGCATGCGGACACTCCTGCAAGAGGGGGCTGTACAGCCTCTGGAAGTTCTCCATGTTGACACGGACAATGTTCGGCACCTTGGCTCGGTCTTCCCCGATCAACATCCTGAAGTCACCTGGTCACAACACACACACTCTCTCTCACTGCAGGACCCGGGTTTTAGCTGCTCACCGGCAACCACCACCCCCCCCCACCCCACCCACTCCACGCACGCTCCAGGGTCCCCAAACATTGGCACTGTTGGGGGGGGGACACTTAACAGGTACCTAATACTCTGTGGAGTGAGGTAAACGGGGCGTTTGCAGAGGGAGAGAGGGGGTAATTTTTCCATGTACTCGGGACACTGAAAACCTGGTCCCTGTATTTACACAGCGCCTGGGAGCGCGGGTTTGGGAGCCAGTGAGGGAGAAGCAGGAGGCGACCACAGTTGCGGTCAGCGAGGAAGGGATTGAAACAACAATAAATTACATTTACACAGTGGTTTAGAAGGATGTCCCAAGGCCTGGACAGTCAAGAGTTTGCACCCGAGCTGGGGATTGGAATCAAGAGGCGGGGAGGCCAGGGAGGGTGGTCGAAAGTGTAGTCGAAGGGGAAGGTGTTGGGATGAGCCTTGACGGACGTGAGGGAGGGGACGGGCAAGGCGGAGGAACTCAGGGATGGAGTTCCAGAGGGTTAGAGCTTCTCTGAAGTTAGAGACAGGGGAGAGGAAGGGATTGAAGCAGTGTGTTTCGGAGATTGGGGGTGCAGTGGCTGAAGGCATGGCCACTATTGGTCATATCACAGGTCCCCAGTTTTCACCCTGTGTGTCGAGACAGTTGAGATGATCAGCTGAAAGAAGGCGCCAGTGGTGGTGGAGGATATGACGGGCGTTCATATGGGGGTGGGGTGAAGTGATGGGAAGATCAGCCACAGCCGGGCTATCACTAACCTGAGTATGAGAGCCCAGTGACCCGCAGGAAAAGCTCCTCCTCGCTGAAACTCTCCGGCAGCGTCAGGAAGGCTGTGACCAGGGCGCTCCTCAGGTTCCTGCTCAGAGCTGCCTGCAGCTTACTGTTCTCACTCTGGATCACAATCTTCACCTGTGGAGAGATCACGGTAGGGGGGACATGGGGGGGGGAAGGAGGGGGGGAATGAATGGTGTAATGTGTCCAGCATTCCGTCTGCACACCGAGATTGACGGAATTCACATTCCTACATACATAGTCTCAGCACACCGAAACATCTCACCGCGATTCACGGGTATCCGCTGGTGTTTTGTAGGCGAATGTGGCATCCATTGGACGCAGCGTTGATGAAGCCACAATGTGGATGTTGGGAACGTGGGGGATTGTCGTCCAGGACACAGGGAGAGAAACTCCCTTTTTCCCAGAAGCGCCACGGGGTCTTTAATATCTACATTAACAGACCTTGGTTTAACATCTCATCCCTAAAGGACAGTGCCTCCGACAATGCCACCAATCACACCCTGCCCTCGCTGCTCAATCACATCTGTATTTACACTCACGGGCTTGTGTAGTCTTCCAGCAACGTACAAGGTCTTCCAGTGAAGGAGGTCATCTATCAGCGTGTCTGTACTGATCACGCCGTATTTGATAAGCTGGTGACGGAGAAAGAAGATTTGATGGGGAACAAGTCTGCATTACCCATAGCACATACACAACAAGCACAACAACAACAATGTGCATTTATATAGTGCCCTTCACCCGGGGCAGTGTCTCAGGCACTAAACGATACTTTGAGATGGGGAGGTGATTGTAGGCACGGTCGAGATCTGAAGATGGACACAGAGGGGGCGAAACGGCGGGACCGAGGCCAGGGGTTTCCTGCTGCACTCACCCGCTCATCACAAGGAATTAGCGCGTTGTAATATACTCCAGCTCCATAATTGTCCTGTATGCGGCTGACATACTTTGGTCCCAGGAAGCGCAGGAAGGAGTAGTGTTTGCGGTTTTTCATCATGTTCATGGTGTGCCACGCGAGGGGGTTGTCCACAGCGAACACAAAGTCCAACATGTTCTGAAAACACACGGGGTGGGGGGGAAATCTCAGTGACTCCACAATGCAGCCAGCCTCAGCCATTGCTCCCACGTCTTCCGTCAGCGTCAAAGTCAAGGCTTGGTACTGTAGAGTGCCGTGGCCGCGCGCTTTGTGGGTGAGCAAGCAGCCAACTTTAGCACAACAATTTCCCGCAAATAGCCTCGGAGTGAATGAGCGATTTTATTTGCTGGATCGTCGACCAGGACACGGGAGAGTAAAACTCCTGTCTCTTTTCTCAGAGCGGAGAAGCGCTCTCACTTCCGAGTCAGAAGGTTGTGGGTTCCAGTCTCAGGTCGGGACTTGGAATCACGGAGTCCAAAGCCGAGGCTCACTGCAGCGCTGGCGCGCGCGCGCGAGCTGCATTGTCGGGGGCGCCGCCTTCCGGATGAGACACTGGAACGATATCCCGTTCAGGTGGACGTGAACGATCCCGCGGCGCTATTCAAAAAGAGAAGGGAGTTTCTCTCTCTCCCGGTGTCTTGGCCCAACAATCCCCGGAATAAAATGAATCGCTCGCGCTCCGTGGCCGTTCGCGGGACGCGTTCGCGCTCGCGCTGCCCACACCTCGGCCGCCGTGTGCCGCCTCTAACTCGCAGCCCCCGCACTTTACGGCCTATCCCAGTGACGCGCTCTTGAGGCGCCTCCAACCGCGTGAGGAGCTGCTGCGTCGGAGCCCGAGGGTTGTCGTCACCATTCCACGGCCGCACACGAGAGAGAGAGACATCTCAGGTCCCACCGGAAACGGCAGAGACGGGGATCGGTTTCAACGCGGCGTCTGGGGGGGGGGGGGGGGGGGGGGGGGGGGCGGCGGCTCGGACAGCGCAGCGCTCGCTCGCTCGCACCCCAGCACCCCCCCACCCCACCCTCACACCACCCCCCACCCATCCCCCCCAATCCCCCCCAACCCCCACACCACCCCCCCACCCATCCCCCCCACCCTCACACCCCAACACCCCCCCACCCCACCCATCCCCCCCAACCCCCACCCTCACACCACCCCCCCCCCACACTGTGCTGGAGAGTCAGCCCGGACTGTGGCTCAGTAGTCCCTGAGTGGGGCTCAAACCCCACTCCCCCCCCCCCCCCCCTCACCCACCAGAGACCTGCGCGCTATTGGCTGAGCCCCGCGGGGGGGGGGGGGGGGGAGGGCGCCCTCTGCCGGTAGTGAAAGCGTTGGGGGCGCAACGTCGAGTGGCCGCTAGAGGTCGCCGCTCGGGGGCGCGGCGCCCACTCACTCACTCAGTCACTCACTCACTCACTCACCCGCCGCCCCTCGGCCCCGTGAAGGCCGGAGCCGTACGCGAAGGCCAGGCTCAGCTCGCGGGGGAAATGCGCCACCACCCGGCGGAGCAGCGCCCCCTGGGCCTGCACTCCCAGCGGCATGGCCTGGGGGGTGGGGGGGGGTCAGGCCTTCCTTGGGCCGAGGCCCCGAGCTCGAGTCGGCCGCGCAGCCGAGCGACGGGTTCCGTGCGCCGGGGCCCTCCCTTTGCCCCTGTGCCGCGCTGTGCAGCGCCCCCCTCCTCCCCGGCCGGCGGGAGGGCGGTACTGCAGCCCCGCCCCCCCCCGGGAGGGTCTCCGCTCAGGTCCCCGTCCCCCACCCGCTCCCAACCCCCAACGGTGGGGCTGCGGCTCCCGGTGCCCCCACTCCGCCTGAAGAGCCCGGACTGTGCCGGAGTTGTCGCACCGAGAGCCCCGAGCCCACTCCCCCGAGCCCACTCCCCGAGCCCACTCCCCCGAGCCCACTCCCCGAGCCCACTCCCCCGAGCCCACTCCCCCGAGCCCACTCCCCGAGCAGAGCCCACTCCCCCGAGCCCACTCCCCGAGCCCACTCCCCGAGCCCACTCCCCCGAGCCCACTCCCCGAGCCAAGCCCACTCCCCGAGCCCACTCCCCGAGCCAAGCCCACTCCCCGAGCCGAGCCCACTCCCCGAGCCCACTCCCCGAGCCGAGCCCACTCCCCGAGCCCCCCGCCCACCGCGCCCGGCAATCGTCCGCAGACCTGCGCCGCGCGGCGGAGCCCGTTTCGCCCCATCGGCGTCGGTCGGCTGCTCCTCCAGTTAGTCCATCTCCCCCGATCCCACCCGCCCGCCCTTTCCCCGTACCCTCTGGGCGTTCACTTGTTTCCGCGCGCGCTTGTCCTTCTCAGCACTCTCAATTGACTCCACCAAAAGCCGCCTCGATCCGCGCCCTATTGAGCCGCCGGGGGTGGGATGGTGGGGGGGAGGGGGCGCGGGACGCCAATCTTGCTATCTTACTCTTGTCACGCTCTTTAATCTTCGATCCATGCCCTCTTTTCCTAACAGTCGCCCTCCCGTGGGAATAATCCCCTCCATTCCATCTGATGCTGGTATCTGATGCAGGGCCTACAAGTATATAACAGTAATTGCTATCAACTGGAATGAACCTGCGCTTGTGGCAAACGTGGCAGCCAAGCTGCGCCCCGCAAGGTCCCACAAGGAACCTTGAGGTGAATGATGATCAATTTATCTGAGAGCTGTTCAGAGAAATACCCTCCACTTTTTCAACAGTGTTGCGGAAGCTTTAACCTTCACTTTGGACGGTCATCACCAGGATAATAATGACTGCTGGTCCAGTGCCAGCCAGACTGCGGCGATGGGAACCTTCTCACTCTCCTCTGCCACTCGCCCCCGCTCCCATCATTTCCAGTCAGTTCTCCAAGCGCTCCATCTCTGCCGGTAGGAGGAAGCCACACAGCCAACCAGCAAGTCTGTTTCCCATGTCGTGGCCTGAGTTTGCGATGTCAGTGTGTAATCTGCACCAGAAGGAGGAGAGGAATAAGAATAATGAATCATCTCAGTAACGTTCTCCGGACCACAAGCCCTGGCAGAGATACCCATTCCGCCCACGCTTCCATTTGAGCATTTTGGGATTTTTTTTTTACTCTAAAATGATAGTGGCATTTAAAATTGTACTTACTTTACTTTACAAATCAAATTGAAAAACACAGTCAAAGAACATTCTGAAAAGAATAATTAATTACAAAAGTGACACAGAAAATGTTATTAAATATAGAAAATTGGATTTTGCTCTTTATTATGGTTATCATAGAATTATACAGCACAGAAGGAAGCCATTCGGCCCATCGTGTCTATACCAGCTCTTTGAAAAGAGCTATCCAATTCAATCCCACTCCCCCGCTCTTTCCCCATAGCCCTGCAAAGTTGTCTTCCCCAAATAAATATCTACGCTCTTAAAAGTTGTTACCGAATTGGCTTCCATCACCCTTTCAGACAATGCATTCTAGTTAGATTGATTATTCGTTTTTTAATGCTTCTTTAGACCTTTTGTCCGTCATGATGGAAAATGAGACAGAAATTATCACACTGCAAAGTACATTGTAGTGATTTACTATCAAGTGTAGTGACTGTTTATTCCACATGTGGCAGCCATTTTGTTTGCAGCAAGCAGTCCCACAAACAGTCTTGAAGTCGCCTTGGGACGTCCTCCTGACGTGAAAGGCGCTCTACAAATTTTGTCTTACATTGAAGTGAATGACCATTTTAATTTGGGGGATTGTTGGGTAGGACACAGGAGAAACTTCTTTGTTTAAATGGATCTTTAACATCCACCTGAACAGGCACAGGTAGGGAATTTAGTTTGACGTCTCATTTAAAGGATGATGTCTCCAACAATGGTGCACTCCCACCCCCAGCACTGTACTGGAGCAGCAGCCGAGACTGAAAACTCAAAGTCCCTGATGTCCTGAATTGGGGCTTGAACTCACAAGCTCCTGAACCCAGAAGCAAAGACTGAACCAAGTTGGTACCTCAGACATCTTTGACTGGTAAAGTTGCTGGATGTTATTACCCACGTGTTTTACAACTGGGAAATAAACCCAGCCATTAAGTATTGCTGTCCGTACATGAAAAGAATCCAATTCAGTCAATGATTGTGAGTTGATGACAGGCTTTATCACATCCTGCAAATATTGTGATTTCTTTATGCATCTAATGTGCACAATTAAAGCACATCTGAAATAGTTTCTCCTTTGTGAAAAAAAATTGCTCAGGCCGAAAGCTGCCATGTGTATCGTGTGGGTAAGGAAGCCGCTGTGATTGATGGCAATCTTCTCTGGTAAATGACCGTGAAATACGGTGAAATTATTCCACAGATGTAGCTGGAATTTCCATAGCCTCTCACTGATTGATTTAGCATCGTGAGGTGATAATATCTGGAGTGGAGCTTTGCTCCTATGTTTATCTGAGCCACGGGTGTCAGCCTGGCTCCATGTGGAGCAAGATCAGCTCTGGGTCAGAAGGTTGTTAGGTTCACACTCTGTTTGAACTCAGGCAGTCCTGTGGGGAGTTGGGTGCGTGGAGCATAAGGTGCTAAGTTGAGATGAAAGTTAAATATTTTGCGACACAACAATATTGGAAAAGAAAAGGGAATTACTCCGACAATCCCCCAGATCAAATTGTTTTATCTTAAAATTATGATCTTGCTGAGCTGCCTAGTGATTGCAGTGATTGCATTGGACTGCATTCTCTGGATAGTCTTTTGATATTTATAATAATAAGTATAATCCTTGCATTTGATACACTGCCTTATTACGTCTTTGAGACGTCTCAATATTGCAAAGTGAATTGACTGTATATTTTGAGGGTGAAACGGGGCACTTTATATAAATATATACATATATATATTATAGCCACTACATCATTATTATTTAAATTTATCATTTATTATTATTTAAATCACAAGAGAGGTTCGGGTGAAGGAAACCATTCAGCCCATTTGATCTCAGCCTTCCACAGTTCCACGTTTCACTCACAAAATATACAATCAATTGACTCTACAGTATATCCTGTGAAGCGCTTTGAGACGTGTAAAAGACATGATAAGGCGCAATATCAAATGCAAGGATTATTATTATTATTACTCTAGATGGGGCCTGACCAAAGCACTGTCCAGCTCGCATCTGATGTCTGGGGGATCTGAGATCAATTTGTTTGGCAATCTAGCCCAGCCTCCTGTTTTCCTTGTTTATCACTGCCTCACATGCCTGTTTTGACATAGTGAGCAATTGGTCAAATAAAATCCCGAGATCTCTCTCAGTTTACCCCTTGGCACGTTCTCTCCCATCCATGGAGAACTCCTATTTATTAATTGCTCAATGCAGGGTCTGTATTGCGCTGCCTTTGCCAGGCTGTCAGCCCAGAAGCATAAAGAGCAATAAGATATATCTGAGTGCAGAGACGTAATTGTTGAGAACATTTCTGTGAGTTAACTCACAGATGTAATCAATGGATCAATGGATAAATTCCTCACCGGCCTGTGTTATTTACAGTGATTGATCCCATTTCTGCTTTAATCTAATTCTATTTGTTGCGTCTCCTCCACTTATACCTCTCACACAGTCAGAGGAGGAGCTTACATGTCACCATGTTACACGATCGGTTTGGATGCAGAAGACCCTTCAGCCCATCTGATCTCCTCCCTCCAGAACATCCACCCGACCGGACCCTCATCACAAAGTCCAAGATGCCTTTTAAACTATGAATTAGCCTTTGGGTAAAGAAAAAATTCTTGGTGTCTGTCCTGAAATGGCTCTGATTAAATAAATGTTTAATTTATTCCATCTTATATTTTCAACTATCCGCCTTTCACTTTACTCACATACTCTCAGGCCTAATGATTCATTCTCTCAGCACTATGAGACGTCCTGCCACAGTCCTATATAGAGGCATCACTGTTAGTACCAGGCTATGTAGAGACGCTCAGGCTGTAGAGGTGCTCAGTGATATTATCAAGCTGCACGTATAGACACAACAACCCTCCAGATTGAAGATTAGTTGCTCATTTCACAGCTGTTATTTGAGCCACTGTTGAGTAGAAAACAGACCCTATCTATAAAACAGTCACTACACCTGGCAGTAAATTCCTCCGAAGTGTGTTTAGACATGATAAACTGCTGCTTAAATGCAAGTTCCCTTATATGTAGCAAGTGAATGATTTTCTTTGTAATCTTAGGAGAGAATAAGGCGAATAAATCCGCAATAAATGTTAACAGAGCTGGTTAGCGAGAGCAAATCAAAAAGACTTCTCAGAGAAACGTCAGCCAACAGCCCTGCTCTGCGGGGAAGTTCCCTGCACATCAGATGAATTGCAATGATTATTGTCTCCCAGGAAATAGCCTTTGGATTCTCTGAATTATTTTTTAACCGAATCACAGATGTGCCGGGGGGAAGTCTGCCCGGCTGTGCAACTATCAAACACCATTTTCTCATCTTTAACTTAATTTACTTGGAAGGAAACCTTTACAGAGCTTGTGTGGGCAGGCTGGCCGAAATGCTCAGATAATTGGACAAATAATAAAAATATCGCCAATTCTTCAGGGCGTGTTCCAGTGCTCCGAGACGCTGTCCTGTGTGAAGTGGGCGCTAAGTGAATGCCGTTGTTGTTGTTGTTGTTATATGTATAAAAGCTGTCTTTGTGCACACACAGGGAAGCAGTGCACATCGATCATGAGCTGACAGCTCCCACCTCCTGTCCCAATTTCCCATCTGACTCCAGCCTGTAGCATGGAGCTTGTATTGTAGCTCAGTGGTTAGAGCATTCACCTCACAAGCGAGAGGACTTGGGTTCGACTCCCGGGCAGGGTGAAACCTAAGACAAGTTTCCTTTTTTCACACGCCTCGGTTTGCCTAGCAGTAAGTAGGAACCCTGTTGTTAGTCAATTTGCAGATCACTTTATAATCCCTGCAAAAAAAAATAATAATTTGGTCACTCTATCCACAATTTGTGTGCAATTGGCCGCTGAGTCTTCCCCACCAAAATATACAGTCAATTCACTTTACAGTATATAGTGAAGTGCTTTGAGATGTGTTGATAAAGTGCTATGTTAAATGCAAAGCTTATTATTATATTATTCTGATTAACCTTGTTACCAACCCTGTGCCTGCTGCTTCCTGTTATAACTCACTTCAGTCTATCTGTGTGTTGATGATGTGTGCGGATGAGCTGTATCTCAGAGCACAGAAAGGGTCACTGTTAATCAGACTGTATAGAGGTGCTCACCATTAATATTACGCTATATACAGATATGCTCAATATTATCAGGCTGCATAGAGGTGGAGACTCACCTCCTAGGGGGGGGTTGTGGGATTTTGCTTGTGCACAAAAGGTCACCAGTTCTGCCCAATTATCACCTGAGAAGCGTTTTGCGAACCTTCTGATGTGAGAAGTTGCTTCTCCTCTCCACCCGCCGACAAATCACATCCAATTCCCCAGGCGTCTGCCACTGTGACAATGTGTCACACCTTCCCAGGAGAGGAGCAGATGGCTGACACATCAGCTCCTTCCACATTCCAACACAACGCCATGTCAAACAATCCCTTGAAACTTTCCGGACTTTTCTTCCTGTGACTGACTCGTCCAGTCCTTAAGACGGCCAACGTCCGGCTTTGAATCCATGGTCAAAAGTGCCATTGGCAGCCTGGAGAAGAGTTCATAGGTTAGAGATGTGAAGGGGCAAAGTTTAACTGTACCCAAAGGGAATTAACGACTGGAACAGGGTTACCAGGAAGGGTTGAGGCTAAGACACGAGGACGAGCTTGTTGCTGTGATGGGTATTCTGGAGAAAGATCAGAAAGGCTGAAAGGTCTTCATTCAGCCTCTGCTCTTGTGATCAGTGTCAGTGTCACTCTCTGCTTTACTCCTTCAAACCCATTCATCATTTTTGACCAAATCGGAAGCCCGGATTCCGGCGGGAACTGTGTTAAATATTAATATCATCGCAATAATTACTTAGTTGCCAAATCACGAAGGTCACATCTGTCCGCAAACACAGTCACTACACTTCGTAATACAAATCCCGTGAAGCGGTTTTAGTGATGCGTTTCGACCACAAAATACATAGTCCGTTCACTTTACAGAAACGCTTTTGAGACGTCTCAAAAACCCGATGGGGCGCTATATCAAAAGTAGGATTATTATTACACGTGTGGTGTGTGAGTGGGGGGCTGGGGGGGGGGAGCGTGGGGGGCTGGGGGGGGGGGGGGAGCGGGGGAGGGGGCGAAGGCAATACATGTGTATCATTGGTACCTCTCTCCCTGTCTGCAGTGCTGGCACTGGCGGATAGACAGACAGACAGACAGACAGACTGCTGCGGGGATGTACCAGCCCTGGTCACAGGCGAGTCTGTCCTTCCCCTGATCAGGGATGTGGGTGATGGATCTGCACTGTGCAATCTAAGTAAATCAGTTTCTCTCCCCCACCCCCCACCATCCTCCCCCCCCCCCCCCCCCCCCAGGCAATAGGAAGGAAGAGCCCAGGTTGGTGGCTGGGATTCCGGCTGTGTTCAATGTGTGAGAGAGGAGGAGTGATACCCTCCACCTAACAGACAGTGCCGCAATGTCACATCCCAGCCCTCTCTGCCTCACATCCTCGCCACAAGAACTCAGAATAATTCATGGGTTTTTTTAAGCCGGGGGGGCGGGGGGGGGGGGCGCAGGGCGAGGGGGGGGGCGCAGGGCGAGGGGGGGGGGCGCAGGGCGGGGGGGGGGCGCAGGGCGAGGGGGGGGGCGCAGGGCCGGGGGGGGGCGCAGGGCGAGGGGGGGGGGGGCGCAGGGCCGGGGGGGCGCAGGGCGGGGGGGGGGGCGCAGGGCGGGGGGGGGGGGCGCAGGGCGGTTGGTGATATTAGGTAATAATGGTTTTAATCAGAAACTACCAAACTACCAGGGGAAGGGTTCCTGCTTTGTGATTTATTAAAGGGAAAAGCGTGTTTCTTCCTATTAATGTTCCTGGTTTCCCAGGAATGTGATTTTATTTTAATTCGTTTGCAAAAGGGCGACCTGTGGCAACGAGGAATAACTGTCCTGGTTATTAACACCGCCAGCTTCACTCTGTGTGTGTGTGTGCGATGTGTGTGTGTGTGTCTGCGGTGTGTACACACACACAGATCAGCCTCCCTCAGGTAATCCGCATTGCCGCTTCCTGCGCTCACTCAACCCAGAGTGACTGACAGAGAGTGAGAGAGAGAGAGAGTAGGTGGGCGAGAGAGTGACACACACACACACACATACATACATAGAACGTGGGTGGTTGGTTTGGGAATGTCATCCAAGCACAAATATGCTTCACAATTTGTTTTTTCCCCCTGAATTCCAAGCAACACATGGCCGGCTCCAGGTGTCCTTTTTGGTGTGTGCGTGTGTATGTCGGGATTTGTGTGTGTGTATCAGGGGGCTGGTGTGTGTGTGTGTGTGTGTGTGTATATCAGGGGGCTGGTGTGTGTGTTTGTGTGTCAGGGGGCTGGTGTGTGTGTGTGTGTATCAGGGGGCTGGTGTGTGTGTGTGTATCAGGGGGCTGGTGTGTGTGTGTATCAGGGGGCTGGTGTGTGTGTGTGTGCATCAGGGGGCTGGTGTGTGTGTGTGTGCATCAGGGTGTGTGTGTGTGTATCAGGGGGCTGGTGTGTGTGTGTATCAGGGGGCTGGTGTGTGTGTGTGTATCAGGGGGCTGGTGTGTGTGTGTGTATCAGGGGGCTGGTGTGTGTGTGTGTATCAGGGGGCTGGTGTGTGTGTGTGTATCAGGGGGCTGGTGTGTGTGTGTGTATCAGGGGGGTGGTGTGTGTGTGTGTGTATCAGGGGGCTGGTGTGTGTGTGTATCAGGGTGTGTGTGTGTGTATCAGGGGGCTGGTGTGTGTGTGTGTGTATCAGGGGGCTGGTGTGTGTGTGTGTATCAGGGGGCTGGTGTGTGTGTGTATCAGGGGGCTGGTGTGTGTGTGTGTGCATCAGGGGGGTGGTGTGTGTGTGTATCAGGGGGGTGGTGTGTGTGTGTGTGTATCAGGGGGCTGGTGTGTGTGTGTATCAGGGTGTGTGTGCGCGGATATCAGGGAACAGAAAGGGTTCTGAGTGATCGCTAAGCGGACATCTCGGTACCTAAGGTCTCTTCGTAAAGTCTGACCCATCTCTATGTGATGAAGAGAGAGAGAGATTCTCACCATT